TTTTTTTTAAAAAAAAGGGCCCATTTTCATGAAAAATGGGCCATTTTTTGCTTGTTTTTGCCCCCCCCCGCCGCCAGGAGCACTCTACAAGCCTCCTAAACGCTATTCATGCCCTTTTTGTGGGGGGAAACCAGGCCCGTTTTCGCGAAAAACAGGCCGTTTTTGGGAGGTCTGCAGAGTACCAAAACTTTTTTTAAAATTTGCCTCTTCAAAATCTTGGTGCATTTATACCCCGGTGCATCTTATACTATGAAAAATACGGTATATCATTTTGGTTTTCTATATATCCTTAATTCTTTGGGCAGCTGAGAACCATATTGTTATTGCCTCAAATTTTAAGGAAGCTGGAATATAGTGTCCACCTTGAGAAAACTATGGCTGTGGCAAACCCTCTAAACCACTTGAAAGGCTTACTAAACCAGCTACTCAATTTAGACCTCTTGCTAAGGCCATCATTTTCAATTTGGTAATTTACCGCCCATATTTTTTCTTCACACTATGAAAGAAAGCCTTTTTAAGCCCCTTTGCATCACTATGACCATGAGAGAATAACTATGTCATCAACATACAGGGGAACTGAAAGATCTCTACAAACTAATTTAGGAGGATGGAATTTACTTTTGCTAAGATATTCTACATCTGAGTTTCCATAAAAATTAGGGGGACCTCTGGCATTTAAATGGCAAAGGACAGCTGCAGACCCATTACCTGAATACAGTTTAAGAAAGTTCTTAATTTCTTCTGTTGTCCACCATTTTAGCCAGCAGTCTGGAAAAAGAGTGGGGAACGGAAGAAGCCTTGCCAAGAAGGCTAGAAAGCTCTCCTGCCCTCCAAAGACCCCTTTGGGAGAGAGACTCTTCGCCTGGGGTTGAGTCCCACAATGCCTCTGCTCTAAGAATCCAATTATTCCAGAAAGAAAGTTCCTGCTCCTGAGCTTTGTTAGAGTCTCCAACTATGAGAGTGTTTTCCAGATGAAGGGCTTCCTTCCTTCCTTCCTTCCTTCCTCCTGCTGTGGTTTTTACCTGGCTACAACCTCTGGCATAGCAATGTGGCCTGACCAGTTTTTGGGAATTCATGGATGTGGTTCTCCATTTCACACCTGCCAGTCTAGGTGAAGAACTAGAGAGCAGTTCGTTTTGCCTTCATAGGCAAAAGCCCATTTGCAAGACCAGCAGCAATTAGAACAAAAAACAAAAATCCATTCACAAGGCTATTTAAACCAAAATGCTTTAGCGCAGTGGTTCCCAAACTTGGCAACTTTAAGACTTGTGGACTTCAACTCCCAGAATTCTCCAGCCAGCTGGCTGGAGAATTCTGGGAGTTAAAGTCCACAAGTCTTAAAGTTGCCAAGTTTGGGAACCACTGCTTTAGCGGCAACTAACCTCCAAAAATAAAGAGATAGGGGACTGAGATCCAGGAAGTCCTTGACTTACAACCATTCATTTACTGACCGTTTGAGGTTAACAACGGCACTGAAAAAAGTGACTTATGAACCGTTTTCACACTTACGACTGTTGTAGCATCCCCAGGGTCACATGATCAGAATTCATATGCTTTGGAATGTATGACTCAGATTTATGACGGTTGCAATTTCCTTGGGTCACAGGATCCCCCGTTGCAACTTTCTGACAAGCCAATTCAATGGGGTAGCCAGTTTCACCTAACAATCATGTTACTGTAGTGATTCACTTAACAACTGTGGCAAGAAAGATCATAAAATGGGGCAAAAGTCACTTAACAGCAGTCTCACTTAGCAACAGAAATGTTGTGGTTGTGCTTAGTTGCAAGGACAACCCGTATTTAAGTTATGTGTGTGAACTGGTAGAAAGGGGGGGGGGGACATATGGTAGCTTAGGCACCAAAAGACTCCAAATCCCACCAAGTAACCATTTCTTCCACTCCACTCTATTTTTCCCAATTAGTTGATGCTGGAAAGGCTGTTCCGGGACAGGAAGCATGTCAACTGGGGACCTAGCAGATAGGAACACTGGGTTTATAATTCATCCCAGACAGCAAATCCCACATATAAATTATAATATCTGAAAAGCGTCAGATTGAGAAGGGGGAAGGGCGATATAGAAGTAAATAAATTAAAAATATCTGTATAAGAGAACTACATGGACGAAGTAAAGGCAACCAGAAAAACTGGGAAGATAGCAAGAGCAGCTGGATTAGACTACCATAAAATGAATTCAACAGCTTCATTCATACCACAATGTGAAAGGAACTCTAACAGGCCATTCTAGAGCAGGGGGGGATAAAAATCGATGGTTTTCTTTAAAAAAATACTTAAAAATTAGGTTTTTAAAATTTAAATTGGATTTTTTTTATTTTTATCAAATGTATTTTAATAAAATGCTTTTGGAGTAAAAATCTATCTAAAGATACTTGTCTAAGATACATAAATAATTTAGTTTATTCAGCATGAAATGGAGCTGAGTTAGGTTAGGAGATTGTGAGACTATTTTTGCCGGCAGAGGCACCGCCACATCCGGCCTTGAGTCTGGCACCCTTGTTTAATGCTAAGGTTGTTGCAGGGGCACCCCAGTGAGAACGCTTCCACTCCTTCTTCAAATGGAAGTGGAGACGCATCAGATACTAGGCCAGGACAAGCTGAAAGGGCCTTTTGTGGTGAAGGGAAAGACAATCCCGAGGAGAAAGTATACACACACTCTCACAATTTCTGCACCACAGCAGAGTGCCTCCCAGTCGTTCAGTATGTCAAGAGATCCCAAAATACTTTAGAAGTCTCAGGCCTCTAAGTAATAATGTTCCTGCCTAATCAAAGCAGAACCTGGAGGTAAAAGTTGCTTTTTAAAACAAAACAAAGCCAGTGCAATTCTCCAATCTCCAATCGGTCAATCAGAGCTCTGCAAAAGGAAGAATTCAATGTTTGCGGCAGATCTTTTCAAAAACCACCCTGCATCTCCAAGACACAGTAAAAGATCCCAGCACTGTGTTTTTGAGGGGCTGCGTGTCTTGTTACTACAAGTATTAGGATGCAAATCTCATATCGCACAAGCTTTCGGCTGGCCGATAAACACAAACCTGGCCTTACATGTCTGCCCAGAACAAAAGGCTTCTTGCTAAATAGCAGGAGCGCTACATAAACAAGGAGCATTCTTGGAGGCTGAGGTCACTGACTTGCTCAGCTATATTTCACCCCGTCTGCAATTTGACAATTTAAGCAGGGGAGAGGCAGTCCTGTGTCTCCCCCCCCTCCCTACCTCGCAGCATGCACATACATGTACGCCCTGAAGAATGCAAGCTGTTCTTTGAAAAGGTTCACAAAAGAAAGCTCTACCCCCTGCACACTGACCTGAGTAAAGATTATTTCAATATTAAGACACTGAAGGGTTGGGAAAAACCACCTCTTTGAGAATGAAGTAACACACACAGACGTGGGTGAATATGAGAGGGGATGGTTACACGGATTACATTTTATATGTAATTCCTATATTTATTATTCATTCTCCAAAGTTAGTACTTTGTGCATCTCTTAAAAGGGGCATTGCTTTATTCAACAGCATCGATCGCTGCCAATATTAATATTGAGGTCCCAAAAATATTGGTTCACATGCAGCTTCTTCAAAATTTCAATTTCAATTTTTATTAGAGCGGGTTTTAGCTCATGCACCTCCACTGATTTGTTTGAAAGTGTGTGGGGAATGACCACGGGAATCTCAAGCAGGACTAGATTGCTCCGGTCCCCTACTTGGGGTATGCGTGTGTCCGAGCAGCAGAACTCCCCCTCGAGCAAAATTCCATGTTATGCAGGGTCATCCCAGGAACTATTTTTCTGCACCCCTGAATGCCTTTAACAGCTCTACCAGTTCTTAAAAGACAAAAGGAACCCCATTCACTACTACCAGGAATACGACTGCACAAAAGGGGACCCTACTAGGCATTTTCCAGAAGGAAGACAGCCTCCAAGATCTCAACATCTGCACAGACTTTGGGGTGCCCTTTAGGCGGACAGCCCCATCCTCCTCCTGCAGATTCTAAAATGCCTCTCAGCACAGAGAACAGCAATGGAAGCCTGCTGATGCCCTCAGCTAGCTGAACTACGCCAAACTACAAAGGGCAAGAACCTGTCCCAAGGATCCTGTAGAACAGGGGTGTCAAACTCAAGGCCCTGGGGTGCTTAGATCTGGCCCACGGGGCTGCCCTGGAAAAAGCAAAGGGCGCTGGTAGAGGGCTGCAGGACACCGTTGCAGCTGAAACGGGGCCCGGGCTCCGTTTTCACTGGCAGAGAGCTAGTAAAAGGAACAAATGAACAAAAAAAAGAGAGAGAAACGTTTTCCCTTTTGCATGTGAGCATGCAAGAAGGGGCAGGAAAGGAGAAAGGGAGAGGGGAAAGATGGGAAGAGAGCAAGGAAGGAAAAAGGAGGAAAGAAAGGAGAAGGAAGAGGGAAGAAAAAGAAGAAAAGGAAGGAGATAGATTATAATGAGAGGCATTTGGCTACCACAGGTGCCCCCAATTCGAGTGATGTTGAGTTGGCCACGCCCCCCTATCCCCCCCCCCCAGGTCAAACACAACCCTGATGAAATTGAGTTTGACACCCCTGCTGTAGAAGCTTAAATTATATAGGAACTGCACACATGTATTCATTGTATGGATAGATTCCCACTCACCAAACTACATTATATAGGAACCTCCATCAGGGCAATTTTCAAGCCTACAAGGATGAGCTCTTCTGCCAGGAGCACCTGAAATGCTTCTCAGCTCCACAAAAGGGAGTGCGTCCTCCCTACGAGTCAAGTATCAAGTGACCTGACCTAAAAATTCTGCAGTGCCAGAGGAGGCAGGTGCAACTGTCCTTGAAAGCATAGAGTTTGAGAGGAATAGGCAACCTTTGGGCCATCAATGCATCATGGCTTTCACCAGGATTCCTTGCTGTGAACCCTGAGAGGAAAGTTGCCAAACGGTATCCCCCTTGGATTGACCCTCTTCCCTAATCTAGCATATTCTTCAAACCAGCTTGTCAAAATGGCTGCAAGGAGAGCTGGAAAAGCACACATCAACCAAGGACAAAACTGGAGAAGCTTCAACCATCCTGTTATGGCTTATGGATCCAGTTCCACTCTGTGACATTGAGAATGGAGGAAAATGAAACACGGAGCTGATGTGAGGAGCAAGGACAGCCTTCTTTCGTTGATTCCCAATGACAATTTTCTTTGGACAGCATCATATGGAAAACCATCTATTTCACAGGAGGAATTTGCTGTTTGAGCAGGCTTGATGCCAAGCTTCTCTGATCAGCCAGACGGGGCATTTGTGTCCCACATTGTTTTGGTTCCCACGGCTGCTGGAGATAATTTTTTTTTTTTAGCATCCAAAGAATGTTAAAAATATACCGTATTTTTCAGACTATAAGATGCACTCCCCCTCCCCGTCCAGAAGTGGGTAGAAATGTCTGTGCATCTTATAGACCGAATATGGCCCTGTTTTTGGCCTCCCAACCCCCCCCCCCACATTTTTGGCAAAAACAGGATGCATGAAGCGTTTGGGAGGCTGCAGAATGCTCCTGGGGGACGTGAAGGGCAAAAACTGGACGTGTGGAGGCCAAAGACTATTTTTCTTCCTCTTTTCATCTTCGAAATCTAGGTGCAACCTATACTCCAGTGCATCTTATAGTCTGAAAAATACGGTAAGTTCTGGGCAGAGGGAAGAACTGTGGGGGAAGAGAGTAGAAGAGCATTCTTTTAAAAGGTTGTTTGTATACAAATCATAGCAAAAAATAAGCATTCTGTATGGAATGCAGAGAAAGACTGGCCAAAGACTACATAGGACTAAAATGTTCTCTTACCAAGCAATCCACATTTTTCAACAAGAAACCCAGATGGATCAATAGAAGAAAATATTTATAGCTCAGGGTTGAACAACATCTACATACCATTTAAAGCAGTGGTCTCCAACCTTGGCAACTTTAAGACTTGTGGACTTCAACTCCCAGCTTTGCTGGCTGAGGAACTCTGGGAGTTGAAGTCCACAGGTCTTAAAGTTGCCAAGGTTGGAGACCACTGGTTTAAAGGACACAGTTCAAAAGCAAAAAAGAAAACAAACAAACAAACAACCCCTCAAGATATCGCCTCACCAAGCAACCAATGCTCAGATAAGCAGAGAGTAACATCAGGATCAATTCCAGACAAAAACATCAACAACCTAATCCAGGAATACCCCCACTCAGCCCTTTGATTATAAACAGAGGGGCAACCCCACTCCCTTCTAGCACTGTGGAGGGTGCCTAGTTGTGTAATGAAACACCTGCAGGGAAGCCACCCAGCTCAGAGAGCACAATGGATCCCATAAATCCAAATATTATTAATTATATTAACTTTAAAATATATGAGCAGTCTTTTCTTGCATTGTTTGGGTTTTGTCTATCCTAGTGAGGAAAAAGCAAGTATGTAGCCCAAAGCCCCATCGGTAGTGCCCGAGATTTCAGGCCCCTCTCTTGCCTGCTGGGCTGCATAGAGGTGGATAGGTGAGGAGGAGAGCAACCTCCAACTTCTTAAATACTGTCCCCACCCCCACAGCTGGAAGCCTCCAATGATGCTGCCTTCCCTGAGCCCAGGAGGCAGGTTATTCCCACTACTTGATACAGCTTAGAAAATCCCTCCTTATTTTGAGTTTGGATCTTTTGCTCTCCATTCTTGTCTGACTTTGGAGAGTTATGGGAAATCTGACCCTTCTTCCCTGTGACAACCGTCAAATATCGGAAAAATGCTATGAAGTCTTTTCTTTAGGCCAAACATCTGAAGTTCCTTTAATTTGTCACTCTCCTCTGCACTCTTTCCAGTTCAAGCCAACAAGGAAGTCAGCAGGGAAGGTTGCAGGTTGCATCTGTGAATTGCTCCTACCACTTTTCCCCCAAAGGAGCCCTACTACCGAGTAGGAGACCCCAGATTCTGCAGCAGCCCTGCCAGCCGCTGTTCCCCGGCACACAGTCATTACTGGGCCTTATTGCCTGCCTGAGCTCTCCACTGGTTCACACCCACAACCTAGCCCCCCCGCGAACCTGCCATGCGTGCTCCTCCGTACCCCTTTCCTGCTTCTTCACTCTTGATAATCTCCATGGTCCTGGAGTTTCAACAGCAACCAGGTCACTAAGCAATGCAGTCATGTCACACTTTACAGCCATACTGCTCAGCTATGGAAATTCTGATCCCTGAAGCCAAAGCAAAAGCAACAGCACTTATATACCACTTCACGGTGCTTCACGGCTTGATTCTAAGCAGCTTACCGAGTCAGCCTCTTGCCCCCAACAATCTGGGTCATTTTACAAATCTCAGTAGGATGGAAGGCTGAGCCAACCTGGAACCCGGCGAGACTCAAACTGCCAAATTGTTGGCAGCTGGCAGTCAGCTGAAGTAGCCTGCAGTACTGCCTTCTAACCACTGTGCCACCATCTACACATGGTTGACTTGCCATATTATTCTTTCAATAATCCCAAAAGTCATCTTAGGCTAGGAGACAGTAGTTTCCCCAAGATTACCACTGAGCTTCCCAATTAAGCATGTTTTGATCACAGATGTTTCCAGTTCTAGACCCACACTTTAATAACATTTGATCCAAAGTAGAGAGTGAACAGATGTTTCCAATGTGTTTTCTGCCAAATGTTTACTGATTGGATTTCCCTTTCCTCTAAGGAAAACACGCACCATTCTTTTAGCACTTTCTTATTCCGTTTCAGAAATATTGTGTCTTCGTTGCAGTGTCTCTTTACAACTGATTTGCAATCATTATGGGTTGATTTTTAAATGCTTCTTTACTTGAAATGTGTTTTTAATCGAATGGGATGCCCTTCGATGTTTTACAATCTGTCACAACCTTGAGATTAGAAATCACGCAACAAACCATCAAGGGATGCTGCTCCAGTGACCCCAAAAGCAGCCGCTTCTGCTCCCCAAACCCTCCCAAGAACATCTGGGTCTTTCGAGAAAAGAAGCATCCTTACATTTGGGGAAAAGTCATTCAAGATTCTGTACAATCCAAGGAAGCTTCCAGGCTGACTGGTCAGCGGATAGAAGCGAGTCCGTCTGAAGGTCTCTTCCTCTCTTCCTTCAGAGTCTGTATGACAGTCACTATTCACTATGGTCCTCCCCTTACAACAGTTCATTTTGTGACCGTTCAAAATTACAACAGCACTGAAAAAAGTGACATGACCATTTTTCACACTTATGGCCATTGCATCCCCATGGTCACATGTTGTCCTGGGGTCATGTGATCTTGTTTTGTGACCATCTGGCAAGCAAAGTCAATGGGGAATCCAGATTCACTTAACAACCCTGTTACTAACTTAACAAAGGCAACAATTCACTTAACAACCGGGGCAAGTCGTAAAGTGGGGCAAAACTCACTTAAGAAATATCTCATTAAGCAACATAAATTTTGGTTGTTAAGTCGAGGACCACCAGTACAGTAACAGGCCACATTGCTCCTAAGTAGCACCTTCCAACTCCACTAGTACAAAAAGGCCTCTGAGGAAAATCTCCAGGTACATGGGGGGAGATACAGATGGGGAGGACCCTTCCCTTTGGATACTTTCCCTCCGTTAATATTCTTTGAAGGTCTCTCTGGCATTCCCTTTAAGCTTCATAATTCAGCCCTGACAAGGACGTTCATTGTTTCAAACCCATTTCAGATCATGTTCAGCCAATCCCAAAGTGCCCCCATCCTAACCACCACAGCAATGCCAAGACGACTCAGCCTGTATTCTTCTTACTTCATGGTGCAAGCTCTCTTCCTTAGTACTTCTCTCACTGGGCACACACAAGTACAAAATGTGAAATATCGTGATACGTATTTTGCCACTTGTCTCGCCACAGTTATCATTCCTTTCCCTTTCTGGCCAAATCACAACTTTTGCACATCGCTCCCATTTGCACGCCTTCTAAATCAGTGTTTCTCAACCTTGGTGACTTTAAGTCCTGTGGACTTCAACTCCCAGAATCCCCCAGCCAGCTGGGAGTTGAAGTCCACAGGACTTAAAAGTCGCCAAGGTTGAGATCACTGTTCTAAATGACCTCACCCTTGATTCATTCTCAGGTCAGACTTTTTCCATAAATCAAAACTCACCCTGAACTGGCAGGGTTCAGTTTTAACGGGGGGGCACAAGACGCAAGAATTGTATAGGCGTTGTTGTCTGAGTATAAATGTGGAACTTACCACAAGAGCAGCATGTAAAGCAGTTGGTATGGTAAAGGTTCCCCATGGCCTGGCACGCTTGGCTGGCCCCATATACCCCCTTTCCACACTTGATACAAATACCTTTGGAGAAAAAAAAAACAGAAGGCACGTTAGACCTTGTTAATGGTCTGCAGATACCCCCCCCCCTCCCCACTAGAAATCTGCAGGTCTCTTATTGATAGGAAAACATGACATTCCAACAGAAAAGCCCTGGGGTGCAAACGCCCTGCGGTACACTTCTAATTCCTTCACTCTTTTCCTCGTCCCCATCCTTTTCTTTCCATCTTTCCCTGCTCTGCTGGAGGGAGCGAGATGGGTATTAACATGCTCATACTTACGTGCTTCTGTGCATGAATGACCATTATTGCTGTTAAACTCAAATGGGAATCAGTTATTGTTGCCAAGTAGTAGCTTATTTCAGAGGCAAGTCATTTTCTTGCCAGCTATTGCTTTTATTTATTTTTTCTTGGCATTGGGGGGGGGGGGACAAGGGGGAGTGGCTTCATATGGGAACTCCATGTAGCCTTTTCTCTGGAGTTGGCTGCCCTAAGGTGACAAGGAAACTGGACATTGGACAGGAATTTCTTCTGATTAGCTTTTTTCTATTTACTCTTCCTTGGGGGGGGGGGGGTTAAATTTGGGATTATCTTCTTTTGGATAAATACAGTATTGCTTCTTCCTATCTGCTCAAAACAGAATTTGCACATCAATGACACAGAGGGGGGTACCCAGAGATTTGTTAGAACTCTTATGCATATGTGGTTTGTTAGGCTATCTTGGCTGATCTCAAAAGCTCGGTAGGAGCTAGTTAGGATATGGATGAGAGGCCACCAGGAAATCTTATAGCAGTAACCTATTGAAAAAAATCAGAAGACGGTACTACATTATTTATGGATTTATTTCATCTGTCTGGAAACAGACAAAATCTAAGTTCTAGTATTACCAGAGGTAGAGAGGATAATCCATTCTCTTCCTAATATATTTTCTTGCCACCTGTACATTGGAATATAACTCCTCAAATTGCAAAACTGGGATTAGAAAGAAAGTCCTTTTAGTTATAAAGAGAAGAATAGAATCACCAAATTGGAAGAGCCACAGGGGTCATGTAACTCATCCTCCACCCCAGGAGTCCCCAAACTTGGTAACTCCTGCTCTGAGCAAGAGGTCTTCAAACTTGGCAACTTTAAGACTTGTGGACTTCAACTCCCAGAATTCTCCAGCCAGCTATGTGCTATGCTGGGAGTTGAAGTCCACAAATCTTAAAGTTGCCAAGTTTGAAGACCTCTGCTCTACTCTCTGCTCAAAACAAGATCCATTGGAAGTTCTTTGGCAGTGACTGCCTAACCTTTCTGAAGACCTCTAACAAAGGAGAACTCACATCATCATATGGCAGCAACATTCAGCACAAAGAGTAAATCAAATGGATTAAAACATTGGTATTCAATTATTACCTAATTTTAACAATTCAGAAGGAACGGGAAGATTTTAAAATTCTGTGCAAATAACTTCCCAAAATGAAAAATACCATTTTTGATTTATAGAAAATCACCAAGGAAATATTACCTTGTGTTTGGACTGGGGCTCAGCCCTATAGAGTAAGCACTGATCTTCCCCGTTTCAGTTCAACCCCTTGTCCCTTGAATTAAGTGTCTTGATGATGCTAACAATTCTTCCAAGGTCTTTGAGCAGCTTTTCGCTCTCCAACTTTTAGAATCCAAGCACAACTCTGACTAACTGACTTTGTTAACTTTTCAGAACAACAGAAACTGTTTCCCTGAGTTTCAGCCCAAACATCCTTAATGAAACATCTTGTTTTCTGCAAACTCATTCATAAAACATGGCCAGCTCTTGCCTCACCCTCCCCCACTCAATCAATTCATGCATATTCCTCTCCTGGGAAACAGTGTTTGTACGAGAGCCTGTTGTGTTTTATCTGCCTCCTCAACCTTTCGACTTATTAGCAAGTTCTTGATATCTGCAATGCATTTGATTAAAAAACGGAATCACCGAACCACTGCCAGATTTTAAAAAAAGGGTTTTCTAGAAGATTCAGCATGTAAGTCATCAATATAACTGAAATTATTCCTGATGCAGTTTATGCAAAATATGTATCCCTTGGATGAACAGATGACATCGCATCATGAGGGCAGAAAAGCTAAGAAAAGATTTTACAACTGTTGACATTCCATTGTCCATTGCATGAAGAGGTCCAGTTTTTATTTATATATAAATATAATATATAAATATAATATAAATACATTTAGCTATCAACAGCTGCTTTCTAGTGTGATAGGCAGCACATAAATATGTAGAAACTGATATCTTGCCTTTCACGTGTATCATTTTAAGCACTAAAAAAAAATCTAGTCCAAAGTTTAAAGAATGAAAACCACGATAAAAACATCCATGAGAAATTATCTAATAAAAATGAAGCAGAAGCAACAAATAACACTTTCAAGTTAAATGGATGCTGCTTGAGAACACTTTCCCAAGAGTAAGGAATAAAGTGAGATGAGCAAAGATCATCAGACAGGGGCTGCAAGTAATACCTCGATTTATGACCATTTGTTCAACAATGGTCCAAAGTCACAATGGCACCGAACAAAGTGACTTCCAACCCTCCCCAAAGTTAAAGCTGTTGCAGCGCTCCCCCCCCAAGTCATCTGATCAAAATTTGGACACTTGGCAGTCCACTCCACTTATGGCCTTCAACTGCCCCAGAAGATGGTCAAGGCCAGCTAGAGCCCTGGGTGACGGGGCCTTGGAGTGCAGGAGGGGGGGCTCTGGGACGACTACATCTTCACGTTATGCTGCAGCTCAGAGCCAGGGGGCCGAGAGAGCAGAGGGGCTTTTGAAGGCTGCCCTCGTTTTAAAAGTACCAGGTCAGAGAGAGAGAACTGCCTCTTCAGACAGATGGGAGGTGGAAAGAGATTAGAGTCCATGTCTCTTAAGAAAGGTGGGTGGACAATATTTTTATCTGCTTTTCTTAAAATACTGGGAATCAGGCATACTTGCTGTCAGGAGGAATTCCCAGCTGTGGATCCAATTTTTTCTTTTTTCTACCCTGCCTCCAAGGCTGGCCAACCCTGCAGGCCCAACAGCCGGGGAAGTAGAAACCGGGTACTGAGGCCTGATTGAAACACTTGGGCTGGGAGGGAATCCTGGAATAAGCCAATGCCAACATCTGTCCAAGCCACTTAAGCACAAATTTGATGTGTATGTTCCCTCCCCTATCTGTATCCAAGGAGGAAAAACAGATACAGATACCACTTTTTCTGTACAATACCTAGATAGAATTATGGGGAAATAAAAACCTGTGTCACTTGATTTCAGTATTCCAGGATGTAATATTCACCCTAGAAATTATGTAAGAAAAGAGGCTCTGATTTAGGAGCCAACAGGTGGAATTCAACCTGCTTCTTCCCCGAAAGCACCACCGAGGGCCTTGGTTTGCAACATCAAACACCTTCAACAGGGCTGCTTTGGGAAGCTGGGACAGCTCAGTTACTGACTGAGTTGGCACAGATTCTGCACTATTGCTCCAGAAGAAGCCAACTTCTAGGTGTTCATTTGGCCCTTTTCAGCACCCATGAGCCGCAGGGAAAATATTTGGAGGGCAGGATTTCCCCCACAAATCACAGGCAAAATTAGCTGAAGGGGTGGCTTTCAGCTAATTGGCCAAATTTTGGCAGAATGATCAAGAGCGAGTAAGAGAGACATTCTTTTTCATCATATTATAGTTACATTAACATTTCATTCTTTTAAGTAAACGTTACTCTTGGTAAACTTTGCTCTTTATTGGAATTCAACTTTAATTTAGAAAATGAAAGAATCCCCCACCTCTGTCCCCATGCACCAAGTTTATATAAAAAAGGAGGAGTTGACTTTTAAAAAAAGATGGACATATGAAATAAGGGAAGATCTACTGCTTGGAAAAACTGATAGGATAGAAACAAATGATGGGGAGATTAGGTAAAGGTTTCCCTTGCATATATGTGCTAGTCATTCCAAACTTTAGGGGACAGAGCTCATCTCCGTTTCAAACCCAAAGAGCCAGCGCTGTCTGAAGACATCTCTGTGGTCACGTGGCCAGCATAACTAAACGTCGAAGGAGCACGTTACCTTCCCACCAAAGGTGATTCCTATTTTTCTACTTGCATTTTTTACTTGCTTTCGAACTGCTAGATTGGCAGAAGCTGGGACAAGTCACGGGAGCTCACTCTGTTATGCGGTGCTACATATTCGAACCGCTGAACTGCCGACCTTTCTGATCAACAAGCTCAGCATCTTAGCCACTGAGCCACCATGTCCCTTTTGTTGGGGAGATTAGAAATGGGCAAATATTGCTCCTATTGTATTTTCAAAAAAAGGGACAAGAGAGATTCTGGCTAAATACGTGTCTTCAGCCTAAATACCGAGCAAAACCATGAAATAATTAAGCAGGTGATTTCAGAGAAGGAATGCAATACACTCTGACTTGAAAAAAACCTTGCAGGACTCTATGACCACTGCACAGGTACAGAGCTAGTTGAACTCACCATATGCACCTCAAATGTTCTGCATCAAGCCAGAGATAGGAGTGGAAGAGGCCAAGCCCAGAGAAGTCATGGTTCCTGGAATATGCATCCAGCAATGGATTTAAGGAAGGACACTGAGGACACAAGGACACCCAGACATGGGAAACAAAGATGGTGGGAGCCAGTTTGGTCAAGGCACCAGACAGGAAAGCAAGAGACTGTGTGACTTCAAGTCCCACCTTAGCCATGAAAGGGTGACCTTGATTCAGCCACTCTCCCTCTCTGCTCATCTTGCCTCCCAGGGTCACAATTGTGGAGAAAAAAGGAGGAGGAGGAGGAGGATGCGCTGGATAGGTTTGCCACATCAGGGTATTTGTAAAGGTGGGATCCGAAAAAACAGGTGAATTATAAGAAATTAAATTTCTTTAACTATTTGAACCGCTGTCATATAGAGCATGGACAGAATTACACATGAAATAAAGCCTTCAAATGGTTAGGAGAGGCCAACCAATTGCTTCACTTGATATTGTATTGAAAATGCTGTAGTAATGGATTCCTGCTTTT